TGTTCTCCCCAAAGCGTTTTAGCGTAGCGGGGCCGCTACTCCATTATTTATGCCGCTACTCTGAGAGATTGCCCGCTACTCTGTGGCATTTCCTGTTACTCTTTGTTTTAGCTTGTTAATACACGTGCGAATCTGTTAGTCAGCGTCATCAGCGTCCGGTACTGTGAGCCAAATCAGGTGTGAATGGAAACATGTCAGTGATTACGCAAAGACAATGGACTAATACAGCTTCGTACTTCGACAATAAACACTTTCGCCCTATTTAATTGGGGTAATAGCGAGTATTTTCTCAGTAGCATATTTGGCTGGAAGAAGCAACGATGTCAAACAGCAGAAATATTACGTTGTGGTTCCGCGTAGAACGCCCTGCTGGGCCCCTGGTTGCGAGCGATAAACCCACCAGCAACGCGGTCACCGGTACCCCTGTCGGCAAGGGTACTAAACGTGTCCAAGATGATGTTACAACGAAAAGTGCAAAAAAATAAACTCTAGATTTGATGCACAATGGACAAGAAAATATACGTGGCTGAGAGAAACATCCGATGGCAAAGGTAAAAAAAGTATTTATTTGTAGCGTTTTACTTGGAAGCGAGTTTTGACCTAGTTTAGCTTCATTTTTTGCCGATCGTCGAAACATTTTTTTGGAAACTACCTTCTTTCTGGAAGTTCAAAAATTGTTGGCTACGATTTATCAAAGTAACTAATACTAGTATTGTGTTTTGAAATAGTTGGGTAAAGTTTATCGTGGCAATTTTTAAGTTTAGCGACTTTTCAAAATGGCGGCAATTTGTTTATTTTCGTGTTGATCGTGACGATATTTTTTAAATACAAGTATTGATTCGCTCCTATTTCTTATCTTTTAGGAATGCTGTGACACATATGTGGAAAATTCAACTTAAAAACATCCAGAAATAGTTCTTTGGTATGGAATTCTATGCCATGTATAACTATTACGAAATATGCTATCGATAAACACGCACACTCGGAGATGCACAAGAAGGCCATGTCATTTAATAGAAGTGGGAAGCAAAGAAAATCACGGCGTTCTCAAAAGCTGCAGATCACTGGGCTTCCATGAAAGTCCGAAAAATCAACATTACATAGAAATCACACAGCAGCAGATTCATTTAATCTTCTACATAAATTTGTTAAAAAATAAAGACACATTTTCATCCATGCAAGCCTGTCATTATTGTTTTCTTTATCTTCAGACAAATGCTAATGATATGTAAATTATATGCAAATTAGCCGCCACTCTGATACATTTTTCTGGGGAGAACACTGGATATGCAGCACAACATTCTATCACAGAAGTCCTAATACATACACTTCCGAAGCAGTTAATTTGTTATTATGATACCTGCAGTTATTAAACAGTTGCACAGTGAATGATATTTGTAGAAATTAAACATTCACATATGAATCATGGTGTTATCTGAGCAGAAAATTACAACTACTAACCTTCCCTGCGTCTGTTACTGACATCTGTAGCCATACCATACAGTAATCTCAATAACTGTAATACATCATCTACAGTACAGGCTGATGGGTCAGTTCTGTTCTTTGGTTGTGGCATATCAGTTTCACTCAAGATTCGACTAGACCTTGTAGCTACTGGTTTGTGCTTGGGCGATGATGGTTTGGAACTGATTCCACAGAACTCCTATAGATGAAAAGAAATTAACGCAATCATATAAACAATCATGTTCAATAAACATACTGTATAATAAAAGCAAATGTTGAATACGATATTGAATGTTATGAAATTGTATCTATCACTTTCACCAACAATCAACAGTGCTACTTTTATGGTTACTGCCCTTCTTGTTGCATGGTATAACCATAGCAAGAGAAACCGCCTTAAAAGGAGAATCTGTTTGAGTTTCCTCCTCAGACTAAAACTTGTCTAATGCTAGTGTCATCACTGAGCCAACAATGCCAGTCCACTCACCCAATAAAACCAGAAGGAACAAGAACCAACTCTGTAAAGTTTGGCTGATGTGTTCCTAGTTGGCAGCTGGAATTGTGTGCTCCATGAAAAGCTGAGATTGTGTCTGGGATGGTGTACCGATGATGTTGGTGCATTAATTTATTATCACGACTGATATATTGACAAGCCTAACACAGCACAACTCATTACTACACTAAATGGAGTGAAACAATACTAGAAGTTTGTTAAACACGTTTAATTTAAACTCACTTTATATGCTGCAACTAGTTGGCTACAGTTTCTGTTTTTTCGGATATTCTTAGGTGTGCCAGTCAACTTCCATCTTCTTAAGAAGTGAATGTCTGCATTCCTTTGTAAATAAGTAATAAGTTCTGATTTGGGCAATTCATCTGACCCAAGATGCAATTCCACAAATGATATAGACCAACGTCCCTAAAAAAAAAGAATAATTTGACAGAAAATATATAATGAATAAAGGTATAATTTGCAGTATGAGACAGAAACAACCGTTTAGAAGCGGCTCAGATGCACTGATAATGGAACACCATGTGATCTATATTAGTCAATGCACAGTCTTGTTATGGTTAAACACAAGACACATCTAAATAAAAACTTTAAAATCCCAAATGAGACAAAATTCAACCTGAATTTAATTTTCTGGTTATTAAACTTACCCCTGCATTCTCGGAGTCAGGTGAACTGTCTTCTGGTTTCATCTCACGATAGGTAATACTAAATAGATAGAAATATCAAAGAAAGTTTAGATAGTAGTCATGTGAAGGTACTGGAGGCAAAGACTGATGCATGATAAGATACTGGAAATATCTAGTTTTATTGAAATCTGATGAGCGGTTACTGAGATATCAATGAGTCACACAAACTCGAAAGCATCTATTTGTGCTTTCACACACAAGAGCCAAAATCAATCATAAATACAGTTCCAAAGTGTGCCCTCTAAGCTGACAATGAGCGCCACTGACACACAAAAATTTGCTGTGACACAACTACTTGAGATAATTCATTGGTGCATCATTCATTGGCGGATCACTCATATCATATATATCTATTTATATATTGATTCCGAAAAAACAATTTTATTATCAATATGGAATTTGTAATTCAGTATAATGAAATTCATAGTTTTTATTAACAAAATATGTGTAAATACCAAGAAAATCAACATTAGTGAACATGAAGAGAACCAGAATTTTTTTTTGGCATTATTTTTTAAACAGATTCAATTTTGGGCCAAAATATGAAAATATATTATTATATGAACAGAATTATACTTACACATAAGTTGGTTCCCATATTCTCCTCAGTCTATCTTGCTTAGTACCAATAAGGGTTTTAGTATACAATTTCTGTACATGTTTAAACACTGTAGATTCTAAGTCACCCAATTTGACTTCAGTGTCTTCAAGCTGTGATAAGCAAATCAATATTACACATTATACAACTCTATATAAATTGAGTGACTGGCATACTGATAATACAAGCAATGGTCATATGAGGAAAAACTCTGAAATACTTTATTTTCGCTTGCAATTAATTTTCGTTGAAGGAATGATTCAGTGAAAGTAAATTTCAGAGAAATGCACCTTTTTTTCTATATTTTACATTTAACTCATCAAAAATCAGTGAAAATGAATTCCACACAAAACACCCAAAAGGTCTTTTCAGCGAAAATTAATTCCAGCTAAAATAAAATATTTTACAGTAAATTGTTTCTTTTCATGGTTCTCAGAATTTTCTTCTCTCAATGTTTGTGATCTTAGACTACAGTATCAAGATACAAATGGTACAACAGTATTGCCACATTGTTTCGTCTTAACCGCCACACTGGTCTGATACCTCTGTAGTCAATAGTCCTGCCGACCACATTGTGTACATGTGTTGTTTTAAATGAGTATGTTAATCATTTCAATTTCTACCCTGTAATTGGAATACTGATAGTTAAGCAAATGATATGCAAATTAGTATGGAAATTTTTACCACCACAGTGGTGTAAATTGCTGCAGAGACCACTGCTGTAGTATGGCAACCTTTGGATGAAGTAGGATAATATACAAGCAGCATGCAATCAATCATATCAGACAAGCAGATATTAGTTATTAGAGAATTCTGAAGATTTTGGAATGTGTTGTTACATTACGCGTGAACACAAGCAAAAATCCAACATATAGTATACATGCAGCAAATGACTTACCCCAGGTAAGCCAGGTCCTCTGATAAACAAAGTTAGTCTTGGTGAGGGTAAAGTTTCTGATTCATCACAAAATGCACCTTCTGCTGAACCTGAGAAAATGAAGGACATCCATAATGACATGAAGCACATAAATAATGGCAATGAGATTATATATGGACAGTAGCCATGTGACAGAGACTGTACAATCTCAGAGGTTTAATTTGTTCACTAAGTGTTAAATATACTAGTTTGATTGTAAAACATTCACATTTTGTATTTGGTAAACATAACTAGCTTGCTAAATTATGTGACTACTTAATATTTTTGCAGTATTTACCTGGAGAAGGTATTTCAACATCTACTGTCTGTTGTACATTTGTTCTACCAGGTCTTGGATCAAATGCTGGTACTAATGCAGAGAACTGTCTTTTCAATACATATTCATCATCCCAGGTTCGTCTTCTACCACCTCTTGTGTCATATTCTTCTTCTTCTTGCTGTGATAAGCACACAAAAAAAAAAAAAATCAATGACATGTTATTATTGGGTTTGTGTTCAGGCACTTATCTCCAATAGGAAACAGCTCAAAGTTAGCAAATCTATTTTGTCAGCTGATCGACCATAAAGAATGAAACAGCTGCCAATGGAGCAGTGTCATAGTTCATGAGAGCTTGACAGCTAGCCATAAGTACTTTCTGTCCCAGGCTGTAATTGCTTAATATTAAATGGCACAGTTTTACCTTTTTGCACTTTCATGCATAACGATAACTTACCAATACTTCTTCATACAGCTCCTCATCATCTTCATTTTCGTCTTCATTCTCATCATCGTCATCATCATCAGGTGGCAGATCATCATCATCTTCTAGCTCAGCTAGAAGAGTGCTAGTTCTGCAACTTTCCAAAAAGTCATCACTCTCACTGGAAGAGGTCAAGCTGGTGGTAAGACCTGTACACAAGCTGGCTGCAACTGTGGATGTAGTGTTAACTGAGTTAGCCACAGCTGGGGAAGTGGTCAATGTGATAGAAGATCTGGTGGTGATGCTTGTTGTCAAATTAGGCAGGCTTTGTGTGCTGCTCCACACATTATCTAGGAATAATAACAACAGTGGAAAAATACCATGCAAATGCATGTTGACCACATATGTTCTAACCGAGAGGGGGAAGAATCTGATCTAACTTTTGGAGAATATATTGGCGTTGTAACAGTCAAAACAAAAAACATTGCATCTTTTTAGAATAATGTTGTGGCAAGAGCTAAAAGCGTATTGTGATAACAAAGGAATGACACAGTGAAAACATTTATGCACAGTCATATTTTCTAAAATCAAAATGTAGAAATTTATTTTCAAGGGAAGTATCAATGTCAGGGTCAACTATTCTGGTGACTTATGAAGGCCATTACTGACTTTGTATCTTTTCAGAAAAAAAAAATCAGAAATGCACAGATAACATTATACACATATATACTAGTAATCAGAAATGGGGGGCACCCAGAATCCTTAGAAGTGAATGCCTTGCCTGCAACGAGGCAACATTCAAACTGAATCTGTGAGAAAATAGTTAAGCGCTCTCAGTTGGTAAATGACTCACTGTTAGATGGCACTGGTGTGAATGGTAGTCTACCAAGACTTCCTGCAGTTCCTCCAGTACTTCTCATCATGTTATTACTGGCTCCACCAACCATGCCACTACTACGACGAGTCACAGCAGCAAACGTCTCAAGAAGATTGGCTGCAGGACTGCTCAGATTGGGCACACTTACACTCATGTTGCTAGTGCTAGTAGCAGAAGTAGGAGGTCCTCCTGGAAATGCGAGGTTTACAATTACAATTTCTGTTATAAAACCAGTGTAGTATATCAGTGAAATTAATAAATAATGGCAGATGTCACACACCTGTAGCATCCTTTGCATCTTCAGACACAGTGGTTTCTAATGTACCTTTATTCTTTTTGCTCTTCTCCTCTAAAAAATACAAATAAGGAAATAGTGTGAAGGGATAGACTTGTAGGAATAAATACAAAGAAAATATATTTTTGATTTTAGATATTTTGTAAGGTCTTTTAAAATGAACCTGAACACCTTTGCATTGCGAAAATATGATGCCCATTGTCATCTTGAAAGCTTATTCGAATCATTCACTGAGTGCAAACTTACCTGCTCTCCTGGCAGCATCACTAACAGATGAAATAGATGCTGATGCTCGGACTTCACTGAGTGCTGCAGCTGCTACGCCTTCAGATGATACATTAAGTGCTGCAAGTACTCCCTCTGCTACAGCCACTGCAGCAGCATCACTGGACAATACAAAATCTGTAAAATAAATAAAACATACTGATTAATAAAGTTGCTGTTAGTGATTGTGAGGATATTAGTCTACACATTACATATGAAAAAAAATAACCTCAAAGAGTTGATGAGAAATCATATGGAGTATGGAAAATAATTGTGTTCCACAGATGTGGTGATTAATATGTAAGTAAGAAGCAAAGTATATTAGTAAAGCATAAATGTTATTACATTAAACACAAACAGAAAAGAGATGCTCTTCTTTATTAAAGGCCAGTTTCACAGAGTTGATCTAAACCATATGAAAAAGAAAGTTGGATCGAGTTTGTTAAATTTCAGTTGTCCCATAAAAATCAAAGCAATTCAGGCAAGTGAACCGGCACTCAGTCTTACCCTTTGAGGCTCCACGTCCATCAGCTTCACCACAAAGTGTTGGGCTTGAACTGCTCTTTTTACTGACCAGCGGACCAGAACTAGTTATGCCTTTCACATTAGAGCTACCCACAGTAGTGGTTATCTCAGTTTTTCCTACTTTGAGATTCCTTAGCCCCAAAGATCCTTCAGTAATAGGCACATGTGATGGGGCCAACTGTAGGTCATATTTGCCCTCAGCTCCCATACGATAGGAGTTGGAACCGTTGTGATCCCAGGTGACATCAACCCAACCTAAAAGAACACCATGACATTATGTAAGCATTATAGGTAACTATAGCAAAGCAGAAATGACATAACCACAATCAAATGTACTTTAAAACATGACAATATAAATGCACTTATGTATGAAAACAAATAAATAAATAAATAGTGCCATGACTCCTTATACTGCATCATGGATGTACAGATTTGTTGTTATATTATTATGCAGGAAAACTGTTATGGGCAATGCATGTCATCTCTTCCAAGTTGTTATGTTAGTGTGAAAATTACAAATAATAAGCGCAAATAGTGTTCAGTAACAAGCAGGATTAGAAAACTGGACCCACAGATGAGCAGAGAGCAACATTAGTTTTAGCACTGACAAGTTAATGAATAATTTCGAAACAAGCACACCAAACCAAACCCCCGCCTACAACAGATCTTCTTTGAAAGGAGAGGGAGGGTCATCATTTGTTGGCTACCGATAGAGAGGGGTTTGGTTTTTTTTTATGTCCTGTGTGGGTGGACTACAGGACCAAAGTGGAAGGAAATTCAAGTGGGATGTTTAGTGTTCTCCCCAGAAAAATAGCATGGAGTATTGACTAATTTACATAACAATGTATTATGTGAATCACTATTGTATTTATTATCATGCTAAATTGTCCTTATATTTATCCCAAACTAAACAGTTGGGAACTCTTTAATTTCAAACTAACCATTATGTAATTCACCAGTAACAGTGCCTTCTTGAGCTGGATTGCCATCTTGGTCTCTCCATTTCCAATCCATTCCACGTACAACACGTGCTCCAACGGTCATTTGGCGTAAAACTTGTGATCTAACCAACCGCCGCTGTCTCCTCAAATTGGCTTCAGCTTCTTTTGCAGCTTTGCCTGTGATGATTAACAAGGAAAAACAATCTACCGGTACATCTTGACAGGAAATAATTTGTCTATTTGTGTTCATGACAATTTTATCATATGCAGCAGTATAGACGAGTCCACCACAGCAGAATTAACAGAACTAGTTTAGGAGTAATAGGTTGTATAGGAGTATAGGTTGTGTTATAGTCTCTGTTGCAATTAGGGAAAATGATATTATGCCTAAGATAAAGTAATAAAGCCAAAAAGCAAGATGTCTGCAAGTCTGTCTTATCAGATCACAAATTGACATGTATAGATTCTTGCATAAAATATGCATTCAAATTGACCAGATGAATTGTTTCTGAATAAATTTGTAGTGTATGGTCAGTAATTGAGTGAATAATAGACTAACCTAATATCATCAAAAATAATTTTTAATAAATTACTTCTAAATTTGCAATCTAATATATGGTTACAAACTTTTCATTTCTCTTTGGTGTTTTTCATCTTTATGTGGTTTTTGTATTCAAACTGAAGCAAAGTTTAGTAAGCATGTGCCAGCTTATTTGTTATTGCACTACTCAATGACACTCAGAGTAATAACAATGACTTACCAAGTTGATCTTCACAAGCTCCAGTCACAGATCCATAAAGTTCAAAGCCAGATAAAGACAAGTAATGGGTCTGCCCACTGGCGTTTTTTCCCATCTGCTGTAACCTGATATGCCTCCATCCTTGCTTCTCATCAGATGAGGGGTCAATAGGCCAGGTGGCAGTGGACCTATATCAAAGTCATAGTATGAAATTTACTGAGAATTTATCCCAAAGCATGTGAGTTCTGGGGCGCACATGTTCATAAAGTAACAAGATTCAACTTAAGTCCTGCCCTTTAGTTAACACATTATATTAGCTAACTTAGCTTCTTTTTGATAATTCAAGCTATTTTAAAACAAAATATTACATAATATTCTCACAATGAGATTGTTGGTATTTCAGCTAAATTAGGTTTCTGATTGTTGATACATAGAGCTTAATTTGTCAAAAACATAGATATTTCAAAGTGTTTTACAGTATTAACATGCGAAATTGGTTCAGAAATGTTATCAATCAAAATTTACATTCTTAAATGAATCTACTGCATTCTACAATTCTACTATGTAATACTCACCCCGGTTCATTCAGGGAACAGTCATCTGTATGCGTATACAATGTTACCCAATTATGTCCATCTTTTGAGACTTGGAATAACCAGTTCCTCAATGCTGATCTACCATAACCACGGGCATGACGTAGTGTGTAAGCTGTAGGTATCACCCACAGACCTAAGTCAATTGCAAACCAGGCATTTCTATAGCAAAAAAAACAAGAATATAAAAATAAAGACACCTTGAGTTAATAAAACAATATCGTGGCATAATGTAGATAAAAATGAACTGCATGATTATCTAAGTTATAACATTCACTAAGTGTCTGTGACAACAAAACCATCCCCCTCGCAATATCATCACCACCTGTTATTAATTTTACAAACTGAGAACAAGCCACATCTAACCACATCTTCAAAACTTGTTTTCAACCAATAAATTTTCAATCATATACACAGATCATAGTAGAAAATATTATTTTTGAAGGGAAATGAAGATATAGATCATAAATCCCTGTATACCAAAAACAATGAGACTTACTTATCATCATTGGTATGGCAATTTAAAGCTGATACATCCCTACTTAGGATATCTTCTAATCTTCCATAAGGTAAATTTCTACCTTCTGATGAGCTGATAGCTACCAACCCATACTGACCGGGGTTAACCCATTCATATGCAGACCTGTAAAAGTCAAGATTTACATCATTTACTCAGACAGTACAAAATAGATTCATTCAAAGAAATATAACTTCATCCTTGATTTAGCTACATCTCAAAACATCTTCTGCAATAAAATTATTTGACGAATCAGTATCTTGAACCAATTAGAATACAGGTAAAACTATAAATAGTCATTGTATCAGATAAAAATTAACATACCTAGCATTTGTTCCAACCCAGTAAATAATACCATTTTCATCAAAATCTCTCTGATGTCGAAATACTAATGTCGGTCCTTCTTTGGCACGTTTGACAAAAGAAAATGTAGTTCGTTCATAATCATACCATTGCTTTGCCACCTAAAATAAACCAACTCTGTTACGTACACAATAAAACATTTTTTATACAAATACCAACTAATTTCCATACATTGACACACATTGAAGTGACCAGTTAATCACACTTACCATTTTTAGCAGATATCTTTCTAAAGCACCAACTGTGGTAAGTGGTTCCATCTTCAAAGTTCTCCCTGATCTATCAATGAGGGCAGTCTCACCTGCAGCTCTTTCTAGTCTGAACCTGAGTCTTCTTGTTAATACCTGTCAATAAAGTCATACACACATATCAATACAAAGAAAAACAGAACTTTCAATTGAAAACCTAGATTAAATAACAAATGGATAGATGGACACAAATTAGCAACAATATCTTTTCTTTGCATGGCAAAAGTCCTGAAACAATGCAAAAATATATCTAAACATTTTGCACAAACAACACTGGTTAAACTTTAGGTTGAATTATGAAGTCATCATAATTACATAAACAAATTTTAAAATATCCATGTTCTTCAAATAATTATACTGTATTAATGTCCCTTATAAAATAATAGAACATGAATTGTATAAAAAGTTTTCAAATAATAATGCAGTGATACACATAAGCAAAATAAAATACTAGCCTGATTTGAAATGGGCAGGAATACACTGCATTTGTCACTTTCTTGTTTTATTTATTTATGACATTGTTTATACCGGTACTTATCTAATTGACATATCTTGGAGAGCATATTACGAAAATATGGTTGTCATTATCAGCAGTTGAATGACTTCATTCTGTATACCTACTTTACGTCTAACAGATGTTTTATTTTAATCAATATTATTTCATATATTGAAAATTTGAAAAATATATTGCTATTTTGCTATAAATGGCTGCCATTCATCCATCTTGAAATGGATCAATAAACGAATAAATGTACTTATGTCACCCAAAGTATGTGATGTACGGTATTTGTGAAGTTTGAAAGTGCTCAGACTAGGCAAGTCTGAGATCCAGGTGCAAATGCACGAAAGAGCAGACACACGAAGGTCAAAATACAAGTCCCCATTTTCGCACTTCGTCCTTACCTGTAATCCATATCCAGAACCTGGTGCATCATATAGGAAGAGAGGTAGTTTCTCAATTGATTCCAGAGCTGCTATGAGTTTACGAACCAACATAACAGATGGTTGCTGCAAACTACTTTCAAAATCATCCTCCACCACGTCATCACTGTCACGAAATGCTGCCTTGAACACTCCTATTCTCTCCATAATTCTATTATTACAACAGGCTTCATCATAAGTCTACAAATAAAGAGCACAGTATTGTTCAACATTAACTATCAAGAGCAAATCGTGTGAAATGAAATCATCAATAAAAATCAATAAACCCTGTAAATTTGACCCCAACAGTCACATTGCAATGCTAGTATTGTTTTGCAGTAAATAAATTTAAGCTCTGAAGCAAATCTGCAATATCATTGTAAACTATTTCGATGGACTATTCTGGGGGAGGACATTTTAAGGGTGATATTACAGAATCATTAAACTGTTTGACACATCAAACTATTGCCACCTAGATAAATTAGTAGAAGATAAGTAACTTACATTGTTGAGACACCTAAGAAGGACTTGTACCAAACCACTGCTTTGCAATTCGTAGGCTGACAATGTGTTCTCATCTTTTAATAAGAGAGTTAGAGATTCTAATGCTGTCTTCATCTGTTCTGACCAGCTTTGTTCTCCCTCCAGTGACTGAAATCAATAAAAAAAAACCAAGTATTTCTTTTGCACAGTTTCCTTACAAGTTCATTCCTATAGTTCCAATTCAAATCACTTTCAAGTTCAGGCAAATTTGCAGTTTGAATTAAAAGAATGTTGCCACTCTCAGATTGCCAAGTTTGTTTCATCTTGTAACTTGATATGGGAAAGATTCATGATTTACTTTTGATCCTATCGGGAAGGATTTTGAATTTCATTTGATAAGCAAAGCTAACAACATGGTGACAGGCTTAATTCAGATCAATATACTGACAACATGGGGATACTGCCATCAAACCTAATAAATAAGGCATGCTCACCTTAGAGGGATCATTGTGAGCATCACAAGACGCTTCTAACTGACATACAATAGATTTCAGTTTAGACACAACACCACGTGGAGATGCCTGCGCTGCTCGGAAATATTTCTCATACAACTGCTGGGCTATCTGCTTCACCTGCAATTAAAGATGTGATGATCTAGTAAGATGGATCTTACTCCTATATAATTCTCAGCCATCAAAATGAGAAGTTTTCAAATCTGTTCTCTCGCTGGGGCAAGTTCTCTCAATATTGCATAAACACCTGAAATGTTTTTTTTAGCTGGTCAGTAGATAGATGGGTTACCTTTTGTTTAACTGCCTCGATCTTTGACCTCAGTCTTTTCCCTCTCTTGCCACTCCATCCAGTAGAAAATTCAGGTCCTAATGAAGTCTCAGCAGTAAATGAGTGTTTAGTTCCTCTGTTTGATTCAAATATAAACCCTGGCAGCTCTTCTCGTAAAATAGTTGCTTGCTATGAAGATAACCACATGAATTATAAATAGAACAAGCTACACACTGTCACTTGTATTATGTGATTGCATAAATATGGCTATTGATAAAAGTTATGAATGCAATTTAAAGTTCTGATTAACCATGGCTTTCATCAAAGTTTGTATAAATATCAACAGACACACATGTACGAGTAAAAAAAAATAGCACGAACCACCTGTTGTCCATCCGAATTCTGTATAATGAGTTCGCCTTCTTTACGACAAGACAATGTCCAGTTACCAACCACTAGTTTAGTTGGACAGGTTGATGATAATACTGGTTGGCTTCCAGTACCAGGCTTTACCTGTCCTCTTGCTCTCTGTAGTTTTTCTAAGAATTCACCTCTGCTTTCTGGGGGAAAAATTAAATTACATTACATTCTGTGTATGATAATACTTAAATTTTTCAAACTACATAGTTTTACTCGATTGCACTGTTACGTTTTAGAGTTTTTTTTATTACCAATCACCCCAGTTAAACTGATTCAAACATAATGATTATACATATAAATAAATATAATGTACATGATCCTCACCTGAACTATCTGAGCCACCTTCTGGACTGCCACTTGAATACATTGTAGCTAACTTTCCATCTAAGATGAAGCGAAACCATCCATTACTGCCATTAGACAACTCCAATGCAGCAGCATCACTCCAAATGTATAGACAGTCTCTGCCTCGTGCAAGACACCACTCACGCCAGTGATATGGTTTACCCTGCAGAATCTCTTTGGCATCTTCTAACTGTGGTTCATCTTCATCCTGCTGTATAGGAAAACATAAAATAAGTTCAACAAAACCAGACTGTCCATGCTCGCAGAATTTAGGGAACAGGTTAGAATATTTAGAATAGTAATTGTTACAGAGAGGTGAAGGTAT